GTTGCTGAAAACTATTCGACAGCCCACGATAGGTTTCGCCCTTCTCAGGGCTCATCAGGTAGGCGCAGTCCCCGAGTTTACCTCAACCTAGTGTTCTACTTGAACCCGAATTGGACTGATTTCAACAGAAATCAGTCTAGCTTTCACGAGAGACTCAACTGAATGCTTCGTTTATGATATTCTTCAACTGAATGTGCTGCACAGTTGGTACACTATTCGAGATATCGCACCATGTTTTAATGACAAAAAAATACAGGTGCCCTACTCGTGACTGAGTCAACAACTCCTGGAGGAAGTTGCCTGTTTTAAGGCTTCTGAAGTTCAATTCCTCTACAGTTTACCTTTTCAGGATTCTCACCAGTCAGCGAGCCACGGACGGATAGCACAACAGTATTGTTGAATAGTTAGTATCTGTCCTTACTGATCGCCACGAAAGATGCATTGTTTTCTTCTGGGGCAAGAAATAATGGATAACAAAACAATAGTATGGATATCGGATTTCGTTCCTCCCACACCCCATATTTCAGCGAACGTTTCAGTAGTTTCTGCAGCCGAACCCATCTTCTGACGTGCAATAGATCAATTGAACGAAAAAGGAATACATGACCATTTTGAAACCATCCGATCAAAATCACTCAGTAGGCCTTCGGCTTTCGGATACTGTGGTTTGATTCTGTGGGAGGGAGAGATTTTGTTGTTTTGAAAGGGAATGTGATCTCAGGGCGTATAAACAAGAGTTTCTTAAAGCTCATCTGAAGGGAAACTATCATATCACATTGGGTGACACGAGGCAGGTCAGGTGCAAATTTCAACTTCAGAGCAAGGGTTATGCTGAGCTGACCAGTCGGTACAATGTTTTTCCGATTAGTGATGGACCCCGTGTTATTATTCCGTGCACCACATTCATCTGCTCGTTTGTATATTTACTGGATAGATAGACAAATAGATAGATAGATAGATAGATAGATAGATAGATAGATAGATAGATAGATAGATAGATAGATAGATAGATAGATAGATAGATAGATAGATAGATAGATAGATAGATAGATAGATAGATAGATAGATAGATAGATAGATAGATAGATAGATAGATAGATAGATAGATAGATAGATAGATAGATAGATAGATAGATAGATAGATAGATAGATAGATAGATAGATAGATAGATAGATAGATAGATAGATAGATAGATAGATAGATAGATAGATAGATAGATAGATAGATAGATAGATAGATAGATAGATAGATAGATAGATAGATAGATAGATAGATAGATAGATAGATAGATAGATAGATAGATAGATAGATAGATAGATAGATAGATAGATAGATAGATAGATAGATAGATAGATAGATAGATAGATAGATAGATAGATAGATAGATAGATAGATAGATAGATAGATAGATAGATAGATAGATAGATAGATAGATAGATAGATAGATAGATAGATAGATAGATAGATAGATAGATAGATAGATAGATAGATAGATAGATAGATAGATAGATAGATAGATAGATAGATAGATAGATAGATAGATAGATAGATAGATAGATAGATAGATAGATAGATAGATAGATAGATAGATAGATAGATAGATAGATAGATAGATAGATAGATAGATAGATAGATAGATAGATAGATAGATAGATAGATAGATAGATAGACAGATGAGTGGGCAGAAAAATAGGTGGTTGGATAGATAAACACATTCGGTAACCGACAAATGTTTCCTTAATCTGAATGAGGTATCTTCAAGATTATCTCATATCAATGCCACTTGTGAAGCACGATCGGCAGCACAGCCGGAACACATCCTCCGTACTCTGTTCGACTAAACGACAACAAAGACTACATGGTGATGACGTAGTCAAAGTGTGCCCCCCCCATTCTCGGCAAGATGCAAGGCTGCAGAAGACGCTTGGACAGATGGGAATCAGGTTTGTAAAGATGTCTGTTCTGATGTCCAATGTCATTGCGTCTTCAGGCCATGTTTCTCAAGGCCACAGAATCGTCGTTCCTCAATCACCAAGCAGATTGCATAGAAGCCAAAAAAGGCGCAAGTTAGAATCAAGAGATCGACCAATATTTACGAGTAGATTTTGTGGGTGAACTTCCCGTACTGGTCATGTCAATCCCCTTCGTAAAACTTGATAGCTAATTCGCGTATGACGCAAGCTTCCTTGGAAATTTGCGAGTTCTCAATAGTCTGTATCGATCCGATCGCAAATTCCAAAATTTTCCCGAAATACATGTAAATTCCGCAAGGATTTCATCGTACATGGAACTAACAGCTTGTAAAGATTTCTGCATACCACGCATACCATGCTGATCAGGCTCGGAGTGCTTCTCACACAGCTGCAGTTTTCAGTTCCATCTGTCTTCCAAATGTAAATGTCACGTGACTGTAAGCATTCCATATTGGCTCCTCAACCCGTCGTCATCCACGAGGTGGGGATAAGGACCAAGTAACAGCTTGTTCCACAATTTTCATCTGAAACAGCTGTTAAATCCCCACTATAGTTTCAGCCTCCCATCGTTTCACACACTAAAAGTTAGTTTCGGTATTTAGTAATACGCTACTCGTAAGGTTGCTGAAAACTCCTCGAATGCTCACGACCGGTTTCGCCCTTCTCGGGGTTCCAGGTGAGTCTCTCGCAAAATCCAGTTAGCTTGCAAATGAGTGTATTTCTTTAGTTTTGGCATGTTCCGCTAAGTACATACCCTCAGTACAGGGTAACGAGTTAGTTTACTGACCACAATCCAGGTAGTTGATCAGCGCAGGACAACGATTTAGTTTACTGACCACAATCCAGGTAGTTGCTTAGAGACTAACCTCAATGAATACTATATTATCACAGGTGTTTTTGTGAAAAAAACCTCCGGATTTTTAATTCTGTAAATAAGTCTGCCACCTGAGAGGAACACAACTTCTCCATTTCACCTCTTTCACCTGTGCTCAAGGTTCATCGATCCGCGTGGATAAACGGATCATTAACGGCTATGATGCCAAGACAGGAGACCACCCATGGGCTGTTTCAATCAAAGGTATACATCCCACTACTCTGAGTATCACCTACTGTGGTGCAACCATTATTGCCGAACAATGGCTTCTGACCGCTGCACATTGTTTTTGGACAGACGCCCGGCGAAAGTCGTAAGTTATTAAAACACTTGTGGATACTCTGGGTTTGAGAATGGAGGTATTTATTGTGGGCGAATCATGATCAAGCAGGATTGGCCTTGTAGAATATAGTAGTATAGTATAGTATAGTATAGTATAGTATAGTATAGTATAGTATAGTATAGTATAGTATAGTATAGTATAGTATAGTATAGTATAGTATAGTATAGTATAGTATAGTATAGTATAGTATAGTATAGTATAGTATAGTATAGTATAGTATGACGTTTCGGGTTTCGAAAGAAAGTTCGGTGACAGAATCGGCCAGTATAATTCCACCATTTCGGTTCAATTGTAGTCTGATATTCCTGTTTGTTGATTAGTGGGGATGACTAACATCTACGATGGATTGGTCAGGGGGTGTTGAAGCCGGAGTTTTTGGGCCTTGATTCTTTTGTCTAGAACACCTTAATGGAATATGCCTCTTGGGATCGTTCACAGATTTTGTTGGCCTGTATTCGTCGAGGCGTTCCTGGACAACTAGTTTGGGGTTGGGGTGGTTAATTGGATCTTGCTGAGAGAGATCTTGCGGACTGAGACCCCCTTGGCCTAGTAATCTACCTTTAGGTTGCAGAATGCTAAAAGCACTTAGTTTCAGTTGTGTTTCGGACAATACTACTGATGATCGACAACGCGTCAAGAGTAGTTTATCGATGTCCGTTTGAATGAGGGTAAGGATAATGACTCTGAATCTTGAAGGCTGGGAGTATATTGTTACCAGGTCATGTTCGTCTGAAGACTTGGCCGACTCAGCCACGATGCCGGACATTCATCCAGTAATTGAACTCACGGTGTCCATAACTTGACTATACAATTTCATGGGATAATTCACTAGTGAACCTAGGTTTTCTTCCACTACACCCATTTAAAATCAATAAAGAACAGTGAGATTACTGACGTTGGTGCATCAGTGCTCTGAGGAGTGCGACGGGATAACCGATAGGCCACCACCAGCCCCGCACCCATCACCCCTCCCTCCCAGGGGAGGTCGGATCTGCTGGTGTCTGCATCGTGGGCGCTCGGGCCGAGTGAGTTTAGCCTCCCAAAGACTGAAGACAACGGAGGCCCAAAAACGAAATCTATGCGGTTTGTTTACTCCATGAAGGTCCGAGTAGGGTTCCAGTCAACAAAGAGCACAGAAACCAACCAGTCTGTCGTGAAAAGCTGCAAGCTGCTTAGCTCACAGGCCAGCTGGGCTAAGCTGTGTTCCAGTTAGGTCGTTTGCCATGGGAGAAAGGTTGAGAAATATCTGCCTTCTTAGACTTGCATAAGTTAGTAGTAGCAAAAAGTTGAGTGAAGTCGATGTGTGAGATTCGGTGAAAATCTCAGTGTAGCATGAGTTGGGCAAGTTCCAAGAATGACGATGATCTCATGGTTGCTAAAAATAGACTGCCTACCAGTCTGAACAAAATTTGTGATCGCGAAAATTGCAGAAAGTCGAGGTGAGTTCCATCGGACTTGAGTTAAGTTCAGCTAAGTTTGTCACCTACAGGCCGTTCACACTTTGGACTGGCGGTGCTTTGGGATGGAAGAACTTCACGTTTGGCTCTGATCAGTTATTCGACATACTCGGGCCTATCGGTAAGAATAAAGTGTATGCCAGGTTTTTCAGAAGTTTAGTTTAGTTCCATAGCCCTAAAGGGCAAAGCCGGTAATTGAGCTCGCCCCGGTATTTTGTTCATCTTACATTATTTCAACTCAGGGGAGGAGTAGAGTTTGAGTACGCTGGCAATCCTTTGTTATTAGACAACAATCAGAACCAAGAGCTGTAGCCTTGATATTACCAAAGGGACAATTTTGATAACAGAATCTGGAAGTGATCGAGACCTCCTTTATCGGCGCGATCGTTTCAAGCAATGCGGTGGAATGCAAGTAACTTTATCAGCCTAACTCTCAGATGAGCAACGCAGTCTTTGTTTCTTCAAGGTGCGCTGAGTAACCGAGTGTAGCGAATTCGGGCGGATCTTATAAAGATATGGATAAACTTGGCACCTTTTCCTGGAAAATCTTTTCTCAAGAATGAAAACAGTTTGGAGACTTCTCGAGCTCGCCGAGCATTCAATCAACTTTGAATTCGGGCGAAAATGCTGCACGACGATCGGGTGGTCGAGAAGCTGATCGATGTGCTAAGGGATTTCGGGGATACGAAGTCCTCACTGAAGAACACTTTACACTACTGTGGAATCGTTGTTCTCCGTCTTAGTGAGCACGGTGGCGTTCAGACGGTTTGTGTGGCCAACTTGATAGTTGATTCTGGCACAGCGCACATCACGTAGGCGGTTTCAGTCCCGCGCCGAAATTCTAGTTTTTGGTACCTACGTACGTATGACAGAGGCCATTTAGCCTCAGTTCTACACACCAACTTCGTGCATCTAATCGGTATTGAAGTTTGGCTTACTGTAGAAACCATACATGGTACGCAGCACCGCTGTCGAAGATCTGTCTTGATCTGGTGAACAGTGATTAGACAAATCAGCGTGGAGACTAAATGCGTTTGAGAGTGTATCCAGCTCATTTCAGCTGACGAAGCATGTGCCTAGCAGGCAATGGAGCATTTTCGATGCCTTAAGTCAATGCCCACCTTTTTCATCACTATCAAGTGCTGAATGAAAGCGGATATGCACACTTTCTCACTGGTTTAAAGGCTCAACGCCGGTGTCTGTAGTAGAGATATCCTTCTCTCACAAGCCAATTGAAAACTCGATATCACATTGTTCGAGGTTTTAATTGGTCTTGTGTTTCCAACAGCTAGCTGGTCAAATCGTTGAATTAATGCTCTGGTGTCAGAGTTGAATCCGGTGCGTTTACGAACTGAAAATATCTCAACCTGATTCCGAATTTCCTGAGAGATACGGGGGCCATTACTGAATTTGTTTTGGCGTGCACCTTGAAATGATCTCAGGCACCCATTTCCATTGATCACGAGGATAAATTGCCCAAGAACACATCCAATAGACTGACTTGTTTTAGGCCCAAGGCCTGAGCAAGCGAGAATGGTGGCTTTGTAGATTAACAGTCGAAGAAGGCTATCGACGCACGAGATTTACTACTATGTTTATTATTTTTGTAGTAGTATTTTGGTGCCGGGATATCAATCGGATTGAGAATCCTCAACGTTTGGGTGCTAACAACGAGTCACCTGGTTCATTGAGATCCATATGGACCCATCTACATTTGCTTGAGTAAACTCGAAAGAATTGCCCGTCGATCACTGTTTACGCTTCTAGCAGTCAAACCCGATTGCCGTCCAATCTGACTGAGTGTTCATCTTCCTGATCAATGTCTTTGATCGTTAGAGTTCGCAAGGCTTGCATCCATTTGATTACGTAGTATAATTGGGACGGAATATTCAGTCGGTAAGAGATGGGACAAAGTAAACTACCGAGTTCACTTTTTTTCAGCTGGGAATAGTAAATTTGTATGACGCTCTTTTGGTTGTTTTCTTTATACGAATGGCTTTGTTTCATCACCCCACAGAATGCTGAATCCCGGGTATTGGCACGCTCAAGCCGGACACACAAAAATAGTCGTAAGTTTTGGATTTTAAGTAGGTAATTTCAAGTCAACGCATACTCAAACGCAGTAATGAAGTAATCATACACAAAGACGTTGGATAAGCTTGTTGGGAATTCTGCTTTCCGTCGCCCGAATGTCATCTCGCATAAAGCTCATCGATTAGGAATGATGTGTATCTTTGTACGCAGTCAGACTTTAGACGGGGACTTCCCAGACAACGCCCGCCCTGTTTTTTTTGCTTCGATTTCCTCTTAAACCATCAACTGTTTTCAACCCAAGCAAATGGGGATTTGTTCAGCTGAACGCGTAAGATCGAAACCGCCTATTGTGACCAAGACGTGCGTCGTCGTTCGAGCTCCACGTAATTCCGCGGTAGTGCCATTTTCCTAACGTGGACTTTCTTGAAGACTGTGGTAGAACGAAATGCGAATACAGCAAATTCCGGTCATTGGTTTGTTCGCCGAGCTGGACCACTTAATGGCTAGCATTTCATCACCAATCGAGAAGACATCGGTGCGTTGTTAGGGAGTGTAGTGGGGCATAGCGATGATTAAATGGTTGTGCATTGAGTAGTGTCACTTGTGAGTAAATATAGATGCTGATGGGTTGAGCTTACCTTCGATCACGATTGGTTGTTCGGCCGATCGGTTTCAACGACTACTGCGTTATCTGATAATCACGTGGCCTACTAGCTTGGCATCCCCTGGTCTCACACAACGCTTTGATGATACTACCTGGAATGGTGATGAGACGCTGGCAGTCAAATTGCTCAGCTCAGAGAACAAACCATCTGCGGTAATTCAGCTATCAACGGTCTCTTCAACATAGAATTCTGTTTCAAGCCCACCGCCATCCCATAATTTCGATCGACGGAGCAGCCGGAGATGCCAGACTTTTGAATAGTTTTCACAACTTATCTTTCATTGTTGGATTAGCTTTGCATTGTTTGTTGACTAAAAGGTTACAGACTACACATTCGGATCCTCTGTGGCCTATTTATTGCGTAGCCGGTAGATGATCGGTGTTCCCCAATAAGTAACAGAGATGCCTATTTTTTTAGTTCTCTTTTGAATGCTGAAGTAAGCCCGAAACTATTGACAAGATGTATATGATCACAGAGTTAAGCGGCACGGACCTATCGACACATTCGGTTCTACATATCTACATCACTCGGTGCATAAAAACCACGCATCAGAGATTCCAGTGGTCAATCTTGTCAACACAGGGGACTATATCGAAAGGCGGGTATCTTTATACTTTCAGAGCGGACATATTCTGGCGGCGGAGACTCATTTCGCTACGATGTACCTGGGGACTGGCTTGCCACCGGACTTCAGCAAATATCTGTGACCTCCGGAAATGTAAGGCGAAGTGAAGTCGAGCTAATTTTTCCGAGTGATTTTGCTGTCACAGCAACCAATAAGCGCTTACTATCCGAGGATGGACTCAATGGCAAAGGCTACATACAATAACTTGAGTGGTTTTTTTCAGTTGGTAAACTGGCAAGTTTTTTCAGAGACTTCTTTGTTGAGTGGGGTGATATGCTTGATCAGAGCAAATATAGTTTGTTTATCACAACTACACTTGGCACTAGACACACAAGATGATCTGGAACAAACCACCATCACCATCACCGCGAACACCGCAACCCTCATCACCATCATCAGCATCGTCACAAGCAACATCACCACCACCACAACGAGGATCATTCCCACGATGACGACGACCGCCTCCATCAACACCACTACCACAAAGACAACCCTCACCATCCTCACTACCAATATCACCACATCACAAACGCTACCGCCACCACCCCATCACCACCACCGTCACCACCACCACTACCACAACGACAACCCTCACCATCCTCACTACCAATATCACCAAAGCCACCACCACCACCATCAAAACCACTGAAATCAACACCACCACCACCACCGCCACCAGCACCGACACCGACACCACCACCACGGGGACAACCCTCACCATCCTCACCGCCAACGTCACCACTACCACCAATACGACCACTGACCCCACCACCGCCACCACCAGCGCCACCACCCCATTGCCACCACCGCTACCACAAAGACATCCCCCACCATCCTCACTACCAATATCACACAGCCACCACCGACATCGACACCGACACCGACACCGACACCGACNACCAGCACCAACAACACCAAAACCACCATCACCACCACCACCACCACTAACACAAAAACAGCCGTCCCCATTATCGCTAGCTACATCACCACAGCCACAGCGTAATCTATGCGGGAAGTAGTGATTCTCTGGAGCATTTGACTACAGACCATTAGTTGTTATATCGCACAGCTGTAACACACTTCCGGTATCTAGCTGTCATGCCACGCGAAGGAAGCACGAGTGCTTGTATACTGCCAGCTTGCCCAAGCCTAGACAGAGGGAGTTGATAGGCCGAGGTCGGGTTCGAACCATGGACCTTGTGGTCAATAAATTCGCGCTCTAACCACTTGAGTCATCTCGCTTCCTAGATGCTATATATAGTTGTATATGTAACATATATTATGTATATTATAGTAATATGTAGTTGTTATATCCAAATCAGAAGTTCAGCTAGGAGTCGTGTGCGGTTTTCAGAAGCCTTCTGATAAGCGAACTAGTACACTGAACAATACATGCAACGGGTAATTTCCAAAAAACGCGACCGACATAATGGTTTTCATGATCGACAAAATACCCATGAGATAGCGACAAAAATGCGGACGATAACTGTGAGGCGTCGCGTTTACCAAGGGTAAAAACATCCCTGAGTATACATAGCACCTCCAATCTCCGACCGACGCTGAATTCCCCAGGGTATTCGTGACTTGGCATCGTTGCTGGTCTGCTCATGCATTCAAAGAGGCATGATCACGAGGGTTTGGGGTGAAAAGTGCGATGGGACACCACGACACTGTGATAGATTGTCGTTGGAAGTACTTCCAACTTCGATCTTACGCCCAAAGACCAAGTTTATCAGTTGGCTATCACTTTACAGGCAAAGATCCCGCATGTTCGAAGCCTGTAACAGTGCGACTTTCAGGAAGCTGAGCGAAAGAAATGATATTTGGTCCAAATTTAATTGTAATCAAGTCCTCAAGGGGTCTTTGGTTGTATGCTCCCTTCGCATAATTGTCTCTTACATTAGGGCTCAAATAGGGGTGACCTGTGCAGAGGGGTTGCTGGCCTGGCTTTCTGGTATCGTGAGCAGCCTGTAAACCAGGGCATTCAGTAACGAGCGTAACAATATCAAGCTAGGTTTTCACCCTGCCGACCTGATTGGAACATAAAAGTTGGTACAGTTACGGAGCGAGCGCGAGCGAACGAGCTGTGCAAACGTCATTAGGACAAAATTAGGCCATAAATTCTGTCCATGACTTCAAATGGATTACTAGCCTATCTAATTAGAAATTGACCGGAAATGACAATTAATCGTATAAATAAATGAGCAAACACATGAGCGAATGTTAGCTGTTTTCAATAGACGTACACAAAACTAACCTACCCAGCTCTGTTCGACCCATATTCAGACTGTCAGCGCAGTGCAATGCATGGCAGGTCACTTGACAGCATTGAAAGTGATGAGGAATCATAAAATTCCGGATGACTGCTTGACAGAGCACAGAATTCGCACAAACAAGACTGTAGAATAAGCAAAATACACTTATTTGCAAACAAGTTTGGTTCCGCGAGAGACTCACCTCGAACCTAGCTGAATCTCTCGTTGACGAATCGCACCTACCTGATGAGCTTCAAGAAGAGCGAACCCGATCGTGGGCTGTCGAAGAAGTTTCAGAAACCTTATGAGTAGTGCATTATGAAAGACTGTTAAATCTGAACCAACACTGCCGGAATTGAATTTTTGGACACAAAGTTATTGCTTTCCTATCTTGTCTAATTTCTTAATGCAGCCTGAAGTTCCAACCATTAGACCTCTACAGTTCTTACTCTGATAAAAACAACGGACACCAGTCCACACCGAAGGGCAGCACTGGACTCGAGTTTCGCTCTTATTAGGACTCATTAGCAGTGCATATCCAACGGGCGTGCCGGGTTTTGAACCCCGGACGTGTTCACACATGAGCGATGTGATTGGTGTGCCTGACCCATCGAAAGACGACCCAGTAATTGTCCGATCGATTTTTCTGGTTATGAAGTTCTTATGGGTTGAAGCAGTGTGGCCAATAGCCTATCAATGAATGAAAACAAACACAAATTGTTGCAAATTGTGCCAGCCACACTGGCTAAGTGTCTGGAAGACTATCCAGACAAAGTTTGTCTATCCACACTCATCAGATCGTCTGCTCACCAATGTATTGCTTAAAGCACCTAAATTGAAGCCAGAAAGTTCTGAACAGCAATATTTAATACGGAAGATGCAAGCTTATGAAATGAGGCGTTTCTCGGTTGTGGAAGCAACGGAACCCTTTTGACACCGTACCATATTATACTATACTATACTATACTACTCATTAGCAGTGCATATCCAACGGGCGTGCCGGGTTTTGAACCCCGGACGTGTTCACACATGAGCGATGTGATTGGTGTGCCTGACCCATCGAAAGACGACCCAGTAATTGTCCGATCGATTTTTCTGGTTATGAAGTTCTGATGGGTTGAAGCAGTGTGGCCAATAGCCTATCAATGAATGAAAACAAACACAAATTGTTGCAAATTGTGCCAGCCACACTGGCTAAGTGTCTGGAAGACTATCCAGACAAAGTTTGTCTATCCACACTCATCAGATCGTCTGCTCACCAATGTATTGCTTAAAGCACCTAAATTGAAGCCAGAAAGTTCTGAACAGCAATATTTAATACGGAAGATGCAAGCTTATGAAATGAGGCGTTTCTCGGTTGTGGAAGCAACGGAGCCCTTTTGACACCGTACCATATTATACTATACTATACTATACTATTTTCTATAGAGGAGAATGTCGGTAGCTCAGGTATACTATGCTGTGCTATACTATAATATGCTATAGCATATAAAGCAACGAAACCCTTTTGACACCGTACCATATTGTACTATGCTATACTATACTATACCATACTATACTATACCACACTATACTGCGCTTTACTACACTATACTACACTATACTATACTGTACTATGCCACATTTCACCTTACTCTACTCTACCATAACACACTATACCATACTGTACTCTACCCTACTGAACTATATCAGTCTATTCCATACAGCACTACTCTATGACGTGTTATACTATGACGTGATATACTATTCTGTACCATACTATACTGCACTACAGTATATGCTGTATCATCTTGCTGTATCCTATTCTACCCTGTAATTCACTGTTTTATACTCTACTGAAGTTTTCTACATCGAACAAATTGTGGCTCACTAGGTGGCCCGTCGGTTTATTGTTCTTTTGAAGTCTAGTCTTGCTCCAAACACGCGCTGTTTCACTTTTACAGGCTTCATCCTCGTAGAACGGTGTCTCCCCTCTCCTTGATAAACATCAATTTTTCTACCAATCACGACCGTTCAAAAACATATTTATTTGTATTTCAATGGTCCAGCTCGGTGAAGAACATACGAAGAGAGAGATAATCGTTGGCGCCAGCGACACAGACGAAACCGGGTCTAACTTCCTTCAAAATCTGTTTGAAAGCTTAAAGAAACTTATCCTCTTGTAAGTTACTCATTTTATCTTTTGATGTGTGTATCATGGCACCATTCACGGTCCTCCAGAAGAGTGTAAGTGTATAAACACTTAGCTAATGACTAAAGTGGTGGAAGGTTTGACGCGTATGAGGACAATCAGGAGGATAGTGATGTCAATACTACTGAATAGGTTGCTGAAAAGCGTTGATGTTTTAGCGTGATACCTTTTTGAACAATAATCACACAATTTGCGCGGTAAAGTTGACCAACAAGCTATTTACCAGACCATAAGAATAAGTTGCATTTTTCTGACATTTTGCAAGTGCTATTATCCCCACACGTATCCACATCTTTTGCGTTTTTTATTCTATTTCCAGCAAGACATCTACTGACGAGGCAGTAGCTGACGACAAGTTGTGGCATGTCCACTTTCAAAAAATTATACTGCATCCAAAATACGCACCCAGTAAGAAAAATGTCCGTGTTGTTTTCTTTTATTGAGCTACAGCTGGTTTTCTAAAGTTCGACGGCCATTCTCAGCCTACGTCTCATTTGCTAACCTACGTTGTACTCACAAGCTGTTGAAGCTATCGTTCGGTGTTCACAATTGTCAAACTTCTAGTCCACATGAGTACATTATAGTTAGTCATGTGCCCCGCAGTTGCTGGCACACCTGAAAGTAGGAATGATATCTGGGCGTAATACACTACTCATAAGTTTGCTGGCAAATATTCGACAGCCCACGACCGGTTTCGCCCTTCTTGGAGCTCATCAGGTAGGCTCAGTCTCCAATGTTTCACATGAACCCAAGAAATATTGGCGAATCAATTTGGTTTTGGGAAAGACTGACCTGGAACCTGGCTGAATCTCTCGTTTATGATGTTTTCAAGCAACTGAATGTATTGCACCAGGCCACCTCGTCTTTCGAGATATTGCGATGCAGACATGGCATACTACTCATAGGGTTGCTGATAATTATTCGACGGCCCAAGAAGGACGAAACCGATCGTTGACGATTGTCAAAATGAATTAACTTAGGTCTGTGTATTAAGGGGAAATTTGCATTGTATGTTCACCCGAACACCTGTCAAATGTTTATAGCCACACTTGTACGGTAAGAGTCTAAAACACTTAGTTCAGTCACTTGGCACCTTTAGAGCATGCACCCGGACCTGAGTTCCAAATTAGGCTTGTGGAGAGTTGTTTAAGGCGCGCACATTTGCACTGAGCCAAGCACAAAACCAGCCACAGACAATTTAGTCGATCCCCCTGCACGAAATCTCAGTTGATGAACGACAGAGAGCGAAGCAACTAGAACGCCACAAGTATGACGTCAGCTGAGGTCAAAAAACACTCCAGTCCAACAACGAGAACAAAAAATGATTTGGTGGGTTACATTTAGGACAACTGCGAGGCGCCCGAGCATCCGCAAAGTGTCGCAGGTTTCGTTAACCAGGAAATCAACTTCCAAACTCTTTTACGGTGTTGAGTACCAAACCATCTACAAATTCATTCAACGTGTTGACGAGTGTGAAGCTCGTGGTTCGTTTTGCCCCCATGGTGCATTGGAGTCAGCACCTATTTTTGAACAAATCCCGGTGGAGAACTGCATCTTGGTCTTGTTTCTATCATCAGTCTGATCTGCTTGTTTGGTTACACATCTGTAGTTTTTTTTACTTATTTTATTTCCACAAATAGACGATCTCGAATATGATATTGCCCTCGTCAAACTGCGAGCCGCGCTTCCTATCGATGGCAAAAAGCTCGCTGCAGCCAAACTTCCAGCAGGACTGACCACGGGTGACTGGCCTCCAGTCGGCACTCAGTGCACATTTGTTGGTTGGGGATGCCAAAAGTATCAAGGTGAACCAACTGCCAATTTACAGGTCGTCGCGCTACGTGTAGTCTCACATGATGCCTGCACAGAAATGTATAATCACGGTGCTGGGTTGAACGAACACCACGAATTCTGCGCCGGCTACTATCAATCAAATGTCGGAATATGCGCTGTGAGTGTGAATAATATATTTTCATTGGTTCGATGTGGAAAAGACACACATGGCCAGGTTTGACCCTTTGATAGTGGTCGCCTCAACGCTCTCTAATGTCGTAGGTTATTGTTCACAGTTCTCCCCTTGTCCTGAAGCAACTATTCTGCTGAGTTCAAATCAAGTTTGGGGAGCACTAGATTTGAGTTTCAGCCTTACTACATCTTATCAGTAGTATATACCCTCGACTGAGCCTAAGTTTATGCACGCGCGTGCAAAGACTGATGCACGAATCGCCTTACTACATCAGTAGTATATACCCTCGACTGAGCCTAAGTTTATGCACGCGCGTGCAAAGACTGATGCACGAATCGGTAAAATGGTAATGTAAAGGCATCACAACTTTCAATCACTTCCACCGTACTAATGGAGATGAGGAGAGAATCGAGTTCTACACGTTTCACGTATTATGATTGGAAAAAAGTGGGAGATGAAGGCGACTGGAATATGACCTGTTAGAGAAAGCCGAAACGCGAAAAGGCATAAGAGTGACTCTGAAAGCTCTGTGTATTCGGAAGTAAATATCTCTCAATGTGAATTAACAAGACAATTTGGACAGTTTAGGTTGGGACGTGTGACTGTTCGCTAGAAAATCATCTATTAGTTTATGCCTCAAGAAAATCCAACCAGTATTACTCTTCGTATTGGTAGTTTTGCGGAACATGGGTAGCTCGGTTGCAATGCTTCGTTATCGTATGGACAAGAAACGGATGTGAGAAACACTTCCAGCCCCGTTCCTGCACAGCTCCGAAAGCGTGGAAGCCGCCACAACAATAGGAGAGGACCAGTTGTTGGCTTGTGACCTAAGCTCGGCAGTTGGAGGGTAAATGTTTCACTGTGAAAAAAAACCTTGCATATGCTTAAAGAGACTGTATTTTACACGCTCCATCTTGTCGAGCACGTTTGCTTCCCTGAGCTCTCTATGGACCACGAGCTCTCCATGGCCAGCGAGATAACTTTTGTCATTGTTTTGGGCTACTGATAAACTGAACAGTAGTAACGAGTCAGTCGCACTTTCTCTGAACATTTCAGGGCGACAGCGGCGGTGGCCTCATCCAGATGTATGAACGGCAAGTGGTTGTTGTGGGGGTTGCATCAGCGACCCACGCAAGACAGCCACAATCATACCCCGGTCTCTTCACCAGAGTTTCGGCTTTCACGGATTGGATCGAGAAGACCGTGGACAGCAACCTGTGAAACAACTATTAATGTCAAAGTGTAAAACCAAGAGAAAGATGATTCTCACTTTCATGGTTTTGGTTATTATGTTGTGAGTCTTCATTTGGAAAGACATTTGTTGTTGAAATAACGCGAACTGCTGATCCTGTAACTGGATAAATTTAAAGCCAGCTAGTCCACGAATAGCAAATGGATGTTTATCCGGATCCTCTGACATTCTTCTAGCTTTTTAGCGTGGTTAGTTCTGCACTGCGCAGCCAGACTAATTCGTGGTGGATTTAATGCAGATGGCTATAGTTACGAATGACTCGTTCAAGTTTAGTCAAAATCTGCTTGTCCTCTCCCTGGTTGACGTAATTAGTTGCAATTACCTCTCATCCAGATGTTTTTCGAAAAGGTATAACTCATCGGGCAGATGCCCTTTTCAATTTAGCTAGGGACTTTTGGCTGAGTCATTAAAAATTTGCCTGGTCGTTCGTTCAGCCGTAGCCATGCCACCCGTAGGGAGCACGAGGGCTGAGAGACTACCACGTTGCTCAAGCCTAGACTGAGTAAATCTAGAGACGGAGGCCGGGTTCGAACCACGAACCCTCCGGTCAGTAAATTCGCGCTCTAACCAAATGGGACATCTCGCCATCTGCATGGTCGTTATTGACTAATGTCAACTGACAGATTAAATGACATCTCAAACCCATATCTAAACAGGATGCAGCAAAATTTAAGGAAAAATCGTCTGCTGATCAATTGAACTCAAAGTAGTTCATGCGTACGTGACATTTGCATTGAAATCCAATAAGGGATTCAGAGTGTCGCTGTTGTGTGAATTACTTAATGCATCACAAACAACCTTGGTTTGAGATATGCCCTTGATGGGTATGCCGAATTAGCCTGGAAGCAGATCAACTGTGAATTTTGTTTTAGCCTGTGTGTGTAGTTTGCACTGGATGTCCTATACACCTGTGAGATTTTATCATGATTTGAGTAATGAACTTATGTGTACGATTCAGCGTGAATAAGATCTCAGGATTGACGTTTTTTCAGGCCTGATGCTGGGAAATATCTCATATTGGCGCCTCCGATCCCCACTCCCATCTGTCCTTCCAGTTATCTGTGCTAATATCACAGGTTGGCACTTGCAAGGGACATTATCATAGATAACAGGTGACACTTCGGACAACTACGTTATCTGCATAAATAAATGATCCGGATTCAGCTAACAGAAGTGCCGAATTCTAGCAAACTTCATCTTTTTGCTTCGTGGAACATAAACACCATGTTAACAAAGAACAATTTCGTTTGGTTCATTCAATTATCTATACAAAAGTACTTGTTCGGTTTGAACTGCCAGTTCGATGATTTCTTCAATAACCCGCTTGGAACAAAAGCTCTGACTTATCAGAGCAATAAATGGCCAATCATGAGAAAACAGCCCACTAGGTTGTACACCACCAGGTGGATGTAGCAGGATAGATCGCATGTCCATTTATTTGCTCCTAACCATGCATTTTTGAATAGAAATATGTATGATTTTCGGGGATTTGTCACTCCAAACCTACTGGAAAACGAATCTGTAGAAATTCATGAGAAAACAAATCCATGTGCCTACAAAGTCAAAAGTCAACCCACCTTGCGCCCAGTACTGAGCCCCCTCCAAATAAAATAATGTAACGGTTCACTTGTAACACCCTTTCGCTGCTTAGCTGCCATGCCACCCAAAGAAAGCACGAGTGCCGGGATACTTCCAGGTTGCCGAAGTCTAGACAGGGGAAGTCGGGGGGCAGAGGACGGATTTGAACCACGGATGCTCAGGCCAGTAAATTCGCTTTTTGAGTTTCACCCGGAGCCCTCATTTCATGGGAGACAAAGCTTCATCATGAGCAGCATAGTTTCAGAGTGAGAAGCGCGATACTTCCAGGTTGCCGAAGGCTAGACAGGTGAAGTCGGGAGGCGGAGGGCGGATTTGAACCACAGATGCTCAGGGCAGTAAATTCGATTTTTGACTTTCACCAGGAGCCCTCATTTCATGAGCAGCATAGTTTCAGAGTGAGAAGAAATTCCTTATCCTGGGGGGGGGGGACTTGGCATTCAGCTCATATTGTAGCCATAGCTTAGTTATTTCACTAGCAAGCGTACGACAACGGGTGTTTGAAATAGAAAATCGGACTGAACGAGAACTTGGTCAATCTGCAGGGTATTCAAAATCAATACGTGGCATTGACCCATAAGATTCCAAACTAAGCATCGCGGCTGGTTGTGGAGCACATGGTTGCCGGTCCATTCACAAACCCGAGCTACCATTGGTTTGACATATTGGAAGTATTGTGGATAACGTTCATAATATATGGCGATATCTTTCAGTGCCCAGCCAAAATACTTGAAAATGGTTCTCGCAGAAGCTTGAGAGCTTGAGCTCTTGTATTCACGTGAAACAATGCAGATAAAAGATCCCTAGTAAAATTCTTCATAATTTTTCCACTGAAAAATAAATTAGGGATTCGGCTCTCCGACCCAGGTACCTTATCCGGAATTTTGTTGTTTAACAAACTACTCATGAGTAGAAACAAAATTTTAAAAATTACAAATGTTGCACCGCGGCCCAAGGTTTTAGTGTCCTTAACATTACACCTTTCTGTAGAACGGAGGGCACCGAAGACCGAAGTTTCTTTATCAAACTTTTACATGATTCGTTCTGTATGGTGTCAATGAGCAGGAACCGCGCTACTGGCACATTCACCCGATATATACTAAACCAGAGTAATTTCGTCTCTGTAGGACTAAACGGTTGAGAGGTAGGTTATTGCTACTGTGATGCCCCTGTACCGAAGCTTCGTCACTGTTTGCCGACTATCTGTTCCACAGAAATATCGTGATTAGGATCTTCTTTGACAGGCTACTGGATTTCATCAAATAGTATTACAGCATTACAGCTTCCACGCAGACTGGACTCTGAGAAAATTCAGCTACAGACTGGCAGTCTTGTACAGTTTGTATGACAAGAAGTAAGCGCAACCGGTTAAAAAAGTGTAGCACAGGGCAATACCTAAGTTTTTATACTACTTTAATTGTGAATTCAGTAGAGATTTCTTCATGTTGGTGAAGCCAGTCGATGACAGGAGCAACCTGCACGCCTAATCTAAATTACCATGCCTTTGAATCTAGATCTGGTGAAAACTGGTAAAGTTTTAGCGAGGAGCGACGCGTGTTGCTAACCGCAGCACCATACGCACTGAGCATATGACTGCGGCATCCAGCGGGTGTAGCCATTTGCTATGTTGAAAAAAGCCTAGAAACACTGTACGGTCATTCTACCTCCGATGTGAATCTTACTAATTTAGGGTGGAGAACTCGGCAGCTGACACTTAGTAGTTAGGCACTTTGTGGTTTTGTCACAAATGGCCCATCAGTAGTGAGGGTGAAAGATATTCAACAAAGGTATTGAACCGCCTAATGTTAGGCGATCTACTACTTAATGCTCCCAAATAGGATGATATGTATGGGCGAAAACGGACGGGACTTTCTACTCAAACTACTCTGCTTCAGTTTGGACATTTACTTCAGCTAATTCAGCAAAAAAGATCTTCAGAGGTATGGCCCTGACAGGAGGGTTTTCTGCGAAGAATCCACAGTTGCACTCCTCGTGAATTGCAACCCAAGCTATGGTCCTGATAACACCACAGACAAAAATAATTTTTTCACACCAAGGTTTGATAAAGGACAATGTTTTTCGAAATCACAATAAAATGCAGGGTTTTGAATCTTTATTCACCGATCAGCATTGCCAGTATCCTCATTATAATTCACAACAAGTCCTGCGATTTTCTAAAACTACTTTTTAGCAAAATAAGGGCAAATTAGATACTACGCAAAGCCGACTGACATTAATTGAACACGTCAATGATGGCTGATGGATTAAGGGTCTAACACAATTAGTAATTACGGGAAAATGCAAGATCTCTATTTGTGCGCTTAACGTGGCTGGATCGCGGTGACAAAAACAAGTGCTTGGCGTAGTAAACTACTAACTCGGCAGTATTCGCTCAGTTTTTAAGACGATTTTTCGACATTTTGACCGGGCGAAATTCGGTTTAAGCTGATTACTTTTCGCTGCTCGTCAGAGGAATGTTCGGATCGATACCATGTGCGGCCTAATTTTATTCACGTGTTACTTTGCTTCACTCTGTTTACAGTCAACACGACAATCAGATTTTAGTTGATGGGAATTTTCAGAATTCGCCTTTACACACCACTGTTGGTCTCCTTCCTGGCCTAGTACGATGGATGGTGAGCTTGGGTCAAAGACGAATGAAGGTAGACTAAACTCCCGCCCTTGTTAATCCTACTCAAGAGTCTATATCTTTCTCCGTGCGGAGATGTGAGGCGAAAGTATTAGCACTGCTCCAGATCTAGCCTTATGCTTCCACTGTTCAATAGAATGCACCAGAGCGATGGGTGCTCAAATGCGAGGAATACGTTGACATGATCTAAGAATTTCACGGGCGGTAATTTTCCAATATCCAGCACTGGTACAATAACCTGATTAAATATAATTGGGAGCAAACGGTTGCATTTTATTCATCTTTTAAAACCAATTACTAAAACCAACCCAGCGGAATTCGCAATGGATGACAGTGATACCTGCGGTCGACTGTAGGGCGTTGCAGAACGCGGAACGTGGCATATCAGAACTAAATGATAAGTGGAAACGGTTCAGTCTAATCAAAGCAAGAAACCTTTTGAGGAACGGCACAAAATGATACGTAAATTATTTGGCCTGGTTGCAACTAGTCAAGGATTCCTCACTCCGTTATGAAATGTACCTTACAAGCTGTAATTTCAATTTCTAGCTGTATCCTCTTGATGAGATGTATCGATTTCAGGTATTGGAAAATGAGGCTATTAAAACAACGTAAGTTTTGTTAGAATCAGAAGCGAACCAAAGCGACCAACTAGAGATGTGTTCACTTTTTGAGATATCTAAAATGATTGGACATCGGGCTTGCCTTGTTAGGAAGGGGTTGCATAGTTGAGCTGAGAGTTGATTGCCACATCGTTCCTGCTGTTGACAGATTCTTCAAGAAACAGAACCGTAGTTTTTTATGCGATTTGGTCTCATTTGAGGTTTGGTTTCTGAGCACCTGAGGGTGGTCCCGTCTGGAAGTCACAAATATTTAGCGTAAACACCGAATTCCTCAAACGAGAGCTCAACTGACAACATGA